TTAAAAAAAAACTAGTCACAAATTTAATTTACAACAAATGTAAAATTATGTGTTTTTAAAGATATGTAATGTTGGAAAAAAAAAACTTCTTGACGAGTTCATAATACAGGAAAGACAAATATATATAGCAAAGAATTAAAGATATTATTGCCAAAACTAAGTAAGAAAAAAAATATACTGCTAAGTGTGAAAAATGCATATTTATACGTTATCGTTCAATTTTTAAGAGTGCAGCGCAAAGACACCCTTTTTTTTAAGAGTCTACAGTTTAATGTAATTTTTACTAGAACAATTTAAACTGAATCAATATTTTAATTAATTCAATTTAAACTAAGCATAATCTTTGAAAAGAAAATCAATCATTAAGTCGAGCATACTCAAACGAATATCAAAAATATGTCATTAAAGTTTTATTTCATTTCAATTAAGCTTAAAATGAAATAAAAGAACTTCAAAATTTTTATTTAAATTTATTATCGAGTTAAAACAAACAACATTAACATTGAATTACCAAATAATTATTATAAAAGCGAAGACCAAAGAGGAACAACTACGTTTCTTGAAACTTTTGGTAGCTTGAAACGAAAAAAAGACTGTTCCTAATAATGCTGCCATCTAGTGACAATTATGAGACGTACGAGAGTCTAGTTTTCCTCTATATTTAAGCCAAATAATTTGGCGAAGTTAGAACATTATAGACTAATACAACAGCAAAATATAGGCCTATATGTGTATGCAAAGAGCAAATATAAGACCTTCTGATATTTTTCATACTGCTCCGCCACTTTCTTTATAATGGGCAATATAGAGAGCGATAATATAGCGGGCGATAATTTAAAATATTTCATTACATTTACCATACTGTAAAAGAAAGTTGGAAAAAAAATATTTTTAATTCTGCAATAAAAAGAAAATGTTTTTTGCCTTTTTTATTGCACACGATAAAATGGACCATGATTCGAATTCGTGCTATTGGTATTATCAACATTATACTACCATAGCCATCTACCCGTTAACTAAGAACCCGTGTGACCAAGGTCATACGGGACATTGGTAATCTGGCTGCCTAACGAGAATTAAGATTCTAAGTCATTTTCGTGGTTTTACGAAAAGCTCCCAATGGAACCAAATTATACCTCATTGAGTGCCTTCTAATACATCTGTAATTTGGCATCTTGGTATCATTTATTAGTACATTATAACAATGCATCGGTCCTACGTTCAAAATTATAGTGGAATAATAGAAGAATATATCATCGATTATGTTTACGTAAAAAAATGAGTTGCATTCATCTATTATCAAGGGAATAGTGACATTACAGTAAGACACCTTTGTGTCTTAACTAATTTGTCTATCATTTTGCGGCTTTGCCCGTGTTCATTTATTTAGAAATAATTAGTGGGGCAAATTACAAATTATAGGTTTACAAATTATAGGTGAATATAAAAGCAAAATATAAGCTTTTATGTAAATGTAGACCAGGGATGTCAAACTCAAAAGCTAACTTGGGCCAAATAAACAATGCTTAACTTCAGGTGGGCCGCAAAAAAAAAATTCAATGTTCATAGAAACAAATATTTTTATTTTGAGTTGTAATAAACATATATAAAGCTAAATTATTGTTTACGTCCTGATACTTGACATCTCTTCTCTGCTATTATCTTTTCTATTTCGGGAGAAAATTTTTTGGCCGAGACTACTTTCAAAATTGACCCAACGTGAGTGTTATTAATACGGTTTCGGACAGGAGATTTATTTCCATTCGTAACAGAAAATAATTGCTCTCACTGATAAGTACTTCCAAACTTGGAAATAATTTCATAAGCGAATTTTCGAGTATTTTCAAACATTGCTGGTAAATATTCGTAAAATTTAGGCACACCCACTTCAATGAATTTTGCCTTCAAATTTGAGTCGCACTGAATCTCAATCACTTCCATTTGCATATAACTGGGTACTGAGTCTATATTTATTGAGAAAATCGAAGAAAACAAACAAAATTTGTCTTTCAAAGAATTAAAATCTTTAAACCTTGTTTCAAATTCTGTTCTAAAATTTGAAATTTTTTTCTGCGTATTTTTGATACGATGCAGTATCATCTAAACTAGATTTGTTCTTGTTGCACGTTGGGAAGTGCGTTAAATCTTCATTTTTCAGTTGCCTTTCCCAAAGAAATAGTTTACATTTGAATGCTTTTTTAATTATGTCAAACATGTTCGTAATGATCTGATCCTTGCCTTGTAACAATAAATTTAAATCGGATAAGTGTTTGGTTATATCAACCATAAAAGATAAATCTTGCAACCATATTTGATCGGAGAACAAGCTTGTATCATGATTTATAGTTTGTAAAAACTTACATATTTTTTCTTTCAAATCCCAGAATTGATTGAGAACCTTGGAGCAACATAACCAACTTACCTCGATATAATAGGATAAACCTGATTATGTACATCTAATTGATAGCTTAGTGTGAAACGGACTTCATTTCAGCCAATTCGAATTTTACATTTTCGAGCTGCCAATTTAAAATGATCCGTATAGTTTATAAATAAAGTATATTATAATTTTATATGCTGGTTTCGTTTCTAATTCACATTTCTATTTTATTTTTACTATACTTCGGATATTTTGACTGGGCCATAAAAATGTTCATTTCGGGCCGCATGTGGCCCTCGGGCTGCGAGTTTGACACCCCTGATGTAGACAATACACATCAAAAAGAAAAAAAGATTGACATTACAAATAGGTCCCCTTTTGCTGAAATAACTCGTCTATAGTTTTGAGGCGCGGCTTCTTTTAAATTGATATTGAAATGACAAATAGGACAAATATCAAAAATTATAGTTTTATATAGAAGCAAAATATAGACTTTTACATATGAGTAGAGAAGTGTGGTCTTGGAATTAGCGTTTTGGCACTTTAAACCATAGCATGGAGCCATGAACATCTGGCTGCTTAACAGGAATCAAACTTCTAAGTTTAGTATGTCATAAAATTATTTCCGATCAGAATCCAAATTACAGGTTGTTATTAAAAGCAGACATAGGCCATTATGTATATCTAGATCATTTGTCATATTCTTCAGTTATAAAGGAAATATTGACATTCTTATCAGGCTCCTTGTCCAAAAACTAATTCGTCTAAGATTTTTTGGTTATAGGTTTTGTGTTTGCATATCTTAAATTTATAAATGGTACAAAGTTTATAAATTATTGATTAATATGATAGCAAAGTATAGGCATTTGTGTGTACGCAGAGAATATCCAAACAATAAAAAACTGATACTACAATTAGGTCCATTTGTGCCTAAATTAAGACGTCTATACTTTTGCAACGTGGCCGTTTGTTTACTTACATCGAAACAATATCGATTAAGAGCGATAATATAAAATATTTTTATTAAGTACCATACTGTAAAAAAGAATTTTTTAATTTTGTAATAAGAAGAAAAAATTAGTAGCCAAAAATTGGATTTTTTATTAATATACGATATAGTAAACCTCACTGGGATTAGCATTTTTGCGTTTGATATTATTCAACGGAGCCACGGTCATATGACTGCTTTTCGAGAATCAAGCTAAGTCTTTTTCATGATTTTTCATTGAGCGTATGATTGAAAAATATTATACCTCACGTTGGGCCCCTATTCTGTCTATATTTTGTAACGTGATGTCTTAGATTCTTGCTCTATAACAGCATAACAGACACAGTTTAAAATTAAAGGTTAATATTGAAAAAAGATACAGGCCATTGTGTATATTTAGTAAAATGTTCTACATTCTTCTTTCATAAAGGGAACACTAACATTACAGTTAGGCCTTCTTGTGACTGAACTAATTTATATATAATTTTGAAGCTAGGCCTCGCGTTGAAATAGTAAACTTATATTGAAATAGTAAATATGGCAAAATCTGAAAAATAGAGGTTAATATAAAAGCAAAATATAGAAATTTATGTATAAGCTGAAAGCATAAAAAAATTAGTTTATTATTACAACTTGACCCCCTTGCTCTGGATCAAATTTGTCAATGATTTTGCGGCTTCCTCTCGTATTTACTGTCTTTGAAGTAATAAACGAGAAAAGTTTTAAAATCATAGGTTAATATTAAAGCAATATATTGACCTTTATGTATATGCAGAGAAACCAAGAGATCTTCAGAAATGTTTCATTGTTTCCCTACTTTCGTGAAAAAGAGGAATTAGAGCGCTAATTTAAACTATTTTATTGAAACTCCATACTGTAAAAATAAGTAAAAAACGAAGGAATTCATTAATAAAATGAAGAAAAAAATTCTAATAAATGCTCTTTTTTATTTACATATGATACGGCAGGGTTTCATGCTTAAGCGCTTGGAAATAACAGCTTAGCACTACATAGGATAACACTGGTCAATGTTCATCTGGCTGCTTAATGAGAATCAAACTTCTACCGAATTTACACCAACTATAAACCACACTAACTATATTTTTTGTAATACAGCTAATTATGTACGTTTTCAACCATTTATTTTTGTTTATTAACGTCATAATTGGCGGTCGCAAAGCTCGAATATGCCATCCGGGAAGAGACGATTTTATGACTTTGGCCCTTCTCCCTTCCTTCTCCTCCTCTTTGCAGTTGTATAGGAATGTACTACTACATTTTCCCTTTTCTTAATATTTTCCTTCCTATTTAATAAAAATATTTTTTTAAATTTCCGTGATACTTTTCTTTAGAACTATGTTTAATGTAGTTTTTAGTTCCATATAATTTTCCAACTTGAAAGATTTTAATCTATATGAAAATCGAGAGAGAAACTTATGTTCTTCCGCGTTCCTTCCTCTATAACTCTCCACACGCTAATGGGGAAAGCTTGCGAAGTGTTGCCATAGGTAGAGAGTTCTACTCTACGCCACCTGCAGCCCATTTCGATCGCCAATATTAGCGAACTTAAGATAATTTATTTTTGTAAGAAAGTTAGGCTCAAGCGACAACAATCAGCTATATCAAACTAGACTTGCGGAAGATGTGGTGTTGAATTTTTGAATTTTTCTACTCTACTTAATAAAAAAATGCCGCAAGAATTTCAGGTACTTCGTTGCTTTAATTGTGAAAAATTTCAAGTACATCAGACTAAAAAAGCTAAAAAATGGATTTGCAAAGTTTGTGGAGAGAAGCAAAGTTACATTCGTGTAGGAATTGAGTTCGAATTTTATTTTTCTTATTAAGACTTCCATATATTTATAATGATATCCCCCATGTTTCAACTATTTTATGATTATCTTTTTAAAAAATTAATGGTAAATTATTTTTACACGGCATATGTCTATAATATTGCATTTTGTAGGTAAACACTAGGAGAAATTATGCTTTTTGATACTTTGGAGTTGTGAAACTGTTTATCGAAACCCAAAAAGAATATAATTTGAATTAACTACCGTATTTTTTAACCTATTATGTAAAGACTTCTTGTAAAAAAAATGTTGTTCTTATTTGTCAATTCAAATTTCGTAATTATCGGATTTCTAACATGTGAAAATTCTATAAGTACTTGACTAAATCTATAAGCTTGATTTAAGGACTTTTGTCTTTATTATTTAATGCATCAGTATAAATGATTAAATTTACTTTTGTTGTGCTTAGAAATTATCAGTCTAATATAATTTCAGTTTTTGGTTCTATTAATTAAAAGAATTTTAAATTACTTCTGGAACAGAAATTGATTTTGCCTTTTAGAATATTTTTGTTTCCTAGAATGCTGTGTTTCATTTAATTTTGGTTACATTTCAGAGCTGAACTTCACTGTAAAATTATTTTTGAAAAATTAAAGCTTCAGTGGCATATTTAGATAGAAATTTCAAGAGAGATTAAATTGCTTTTTGAGAATTTGTATTTTTTAGTCATTTTAAAGACTATGGAATTTGTTAACCTTATATAAGTTAAATTATTGTTGGTGTTTTACTTTAAATACTCATTTGGGCAATTACATGATATAAAGGACAATGTAATAAAATAAGTAAAAATTTCATTAACGAATTCCTTAGTTTTTTATTGACTATTTTAAATATAAAATCAAAAATTACAGTGTTTATTTTGAAATGTTGTCGACTTGAGTACTGGGGAAGTTATGATTCCTCCTGCAAAATAAAAAAAATTAGTCCCAGAAATTTTAAGTCAGAAGCATGTTATTTAATGAAATATATGTATACTCTATATTTGCAAATGAAAACAGATTTATTTATTAATCACAATTATGTACACATACAAATTACAAGCTAACTCTTTTTTTTTTCTTTTTTTTAATTTTATGTTTACATTGGATAAAACATGAGAGGCGTCTTTTAAATTTGACCCCTCTTATGAAAACATAGTAAAATTCTTTTTTTTCGCGAGTCTGTTTCGTACACTTGTTTTAACTCTTTTCAAACATTCAGCACCTCGCCGAATAGGACGAAATTGTAAAATCTGCAAAACAATCTGTGTTTTAGAAAAACTATCAGCAAATGATTTCCTAACTGTAACTCTAAAATACCCAGAAATTCATCAGTACTCCAGGTCCTCCTCAAACACATTGGGTTTACATGAAAAGTAAACTCTACAGCTATTTTCATCCTATCCTGCTGATGAAGTGATGTTATCGTATTTCAGCTTTTGCACATTGCTCGTGTGAAGTTGATTTTTTTTTTTCTCCCAATGGATAGCAGTGTTTTTCAGCCTTCACTGTTTGCATTTTATGTATTCTACTGAAGTCACATAACCTGCATAGCTAATAAATATTAAGTGACCCACGATCTTTTCCCTTGCGTAAGTAACTTCCATGTGGCTAAATTGTATACTTTTCCCCTTCAAAATATCCTGAGGGCTTGAAAGGTTGCCCAAGTTATAATTTGTCTATGGTACGAACCCACCATAAAATTTGAGGCCGTCTGCTGCTATGGGAATAGCGCATTTCAGGTAGGGTAGCTTCTCTTTACTCTAAGATTAACACAGACCAAAAAAAAAGATTTTCTTTTTTTCACCGACCCGAACAAAAACCTGTTTTAAACAATGACCCCACACCCCTACTTGAAATGGTTATACCTCGTTACCATGGTCACCACCATGGGTCCAGACAAATGGCTAGGGGAGTTCTTATTTTCGACAAACTATGCGTCCGAATTTTACAAATAGAAAAACCTGCTGTAATGTCTAAACATGAGCACTAAATTATAATTTTTAAGTCTAATAATAACAAAATATTATAGACATTTTGATATAATTAGCTTTCATAACATCAGACGCAAGCTTTTTCTCTCTTTTTATATGTTTCATGTGCTAATTTAAAAAGTTTTTTTTAAAATAAAATTTCAAAAATAATCTTATTATTGCTTATGATGGAAGAAGAAGAATTTGTATGCATATCATATATGCATGATAATTTTAGGGTATTGAAAAGCATCCTACATAATTTTTAAAAATTTATTAAATATTTATCACTGAAAAAAATTAAAAATAAGAGAATTTATCTAATTTTTTATACAAAATTATTTCGATTTAAAATAAACTAATTCTCTTTTGTTGGATTTTATTTCCATCTTTATACCAAATCAGTACAAAATATAAGAAAGTTTTTAAATAATACATACGTTGAGTCATAAAGAAGCTCTTAAAATAATAATGTTTAACACTAAAATTATTGAAGTTAACACTAAATTTGTAAGGACTAGATTTATTGCACTTTTGAAGTTTATTTTTATACTATTTCATTTATCAAATGATGTGTGTTTATTGTATTGTTATTGGATTTGGGAATAAGTATATCAAACTTATTTTTCAATATTTTCAACTAGATTTATTTCACTGGATCTGCACCACAATGCCGTTCTATTGTTCAAGAAAACAACTTCAAGGCAGGTGAAATGGAAATTTCACAAATATTAGCAGAAAGTCCAAATTATTTTCCGGAAAATAATGTAAGAATATTTTAGTCTTTCTTCCTTTGTGCAACTTTAGCACTTAATGGGCAAACTAAATATGAAAGTCTACAAGTTGATTATTTAAGTTTTGTTTATTGTTGAATCTTCTATATTTAGATTCTGTACTTTTCAATCATAACGATTAAAAAGATGTAGGTATTAGGAAATTTTTAAAAAAACTTTTCTTATCGAAATTAGATTATCATAGAACTTTGTTATTACCATGGTTTGGATTTTTCCCAGGAGTCTAGGAAAAAAAAAACTAAAAATGACAAATGTTATTTAAATGAATAATATCAACTATTATAAATATATCAAAAACTATTAACGTTTAAAAAAAATTTTATTGTTTTGAGTTTTCTATGTAGATGCCCATTATAACAAGTCTTGATAATAGGTATCTGTTCTGAGTGCTTTAAACACCACTTTTTCAACTATAATGTATTTTGAAGTTAATGATGGATCCACATTATCAAGTAGAACCATGTAATTTAGCTATAAATATATTACGAAAAACTTAAAGTTTATTTCATAAGTTTAAATTAAATAATTTTATGAATGTTCAAAATAAATCTGTTTTAAAAATATATATTTAAAAACACTCTGAGAAATTATTTATGAGTTGTTTTGTTTTTTTTCTTCTAAAAAACAGAATTAAAGTATAAAATCTGTATGCTATTTGTTATTGCGATTATAATTGAGATTTGTAATTAATATGTGATAATATAATATTCAATATGTGATTTGTAATAGAGTTATAACAATAGTTTTATTTCTACTATGCAATATTTCTATTCTCATTATTTTATTGTAGTATAATAAATATATTGCCATAGCTGTTTCAGCTAGAATCACTAATTTATTGTAGTTATTTTTTTCGCACTTATTTTCTGTAGTCTTAGAGAAAATAGAAACAAATATCTTTGCCCTACTTTTTCAGAGTTTATATGTGCAGGCTTACAAATAACATATATTAAATTGAAAATGTTCTGCTCAATGTTTAGTTCATTTTAAAAGCAAAGTGTTCATATATTATTTTTCCCAAATATTTTCTGTTGCTCTTATATTTTAGCTGTTAGATGTATTTCATGAGAATTCAAAAACAAATATTTTCTTTTATGACTTAATAATAGTCTATTTACAAAATCATCCTAAAAATATTTCTATTTGTTTAGCGAGACATTCAATCATATAGTTCAATTCATGTAGTCATCAATGCACGAAGGTAAATTTAACTGTGATTGATATTTTTGATTTATATGTAGTAGATGTTAATGACATGAAAGCTGTACAATAAATTTAATTGTAATTATAGCATATAAATGCAACTTAGTATCTACTTTGTACCTTTGCTCGACGCAAAAATATTTAAAACATTTTATTTAGCATATAAACTCTGATCTTAAAAAACAATTTCTTAAAAAAACATGAAAAGTCAAATTCATATGTATATATATAAATTAAAATATATAAATGAAAAATACATAAAAGTGCAAATGTATCTATAATTAACTTGGAATCTACCTAATAGGTAGATTCAAAGTTTTTAAATAACTGTCTTGTGTTCACTGGAGTGCTTTTGAATTACGGACAAACAATATTATAGAATTGCGTTGAGCTGCACCTTATTTAAGTTCACATAAAATTGTTGTGACAATTACATTCATAGCTTGTTCTTTGATGGTTATTAATTACTTGATTTACAACTACCACTGTGGGTAAAAGTTCTAATTACAGGCTGGCCACCCACCTGGAAAACCTGGAATTATCAGGGAATTTTTTTTATACTGGAAAAAACCTGGAAACATGGGTGCAAGTCTTCCGTCTTTCGAAAATGTCCGCGGACGGAAGTAAGACGGAAACCAAGACTGACTAGAAGACGGAAATCTGAATTTTTTTTTTCTGTCCTTAAAAATATTTTTTAGGTCTACGTTATTGGTTTACTTTCTTATGTCCTGTTGTTATTTTATCAAAAGACAGATGAATAAATATTTTTTGTACAGTATTTAAACTTGATGTATTATGGTAAAGCTTCTTTATTTAAACTTGATGTATTATGGTAAAGCTTTCTTAGAAAGTTTGCATATGTCGAGGGGGTATTGCGTATGTTAGGTATTTCAGTCAAAAAATTTTCAGTCTTGGCCTTTTTTCCAACTTGCACCCATGCCTGGAAATATCAGGAAAATTTGGATAAAAGCCTGGAAAAATCAGGGAGTTTTAAAGAAAAACTGGAAATTTTTTCTTTGATAATGTTTTTAATTTCGCTAATTTAAATTATTTACTAATTTTCTTAATTTAAATTATTTCATCCATTATACCCACTTTTTTTAAACTGAAATGTATCACCAAACAGTTGAAATATCATCAACTTATCGATACTTTGCTTACATCAAAATTTGTTAAACTAGAATGTAACATAAAATGCTCCCACGGTTGCTGAACGAATGTAGAAATCTTTGATCGCTGTGGGACTGTGCAATTTAGGAAAGATTCTGGTGGAGGTGGAAAAAGGGATTAGGATGTTAGCTTCTGTTTTTAAATTCTGTCCTTGGGCTGAATCCATTTATGGCTCAAGTTTGTTCCGATGCTTTGGAAGTAATTTTATTTTTCTATTTTGACAAAATGTTTTTGTATTTTTAACTTTATAAAATTCTCCAAAAATTAGTTGGTTATAATTGAATAATAATAGATTTTATAAAGAACCAACTATATATTAATATTTAATTTTACTCTTTTGTTGGCCAATATATGATTTTTGATTCAAAATTTTGCACCAAAACATTAAAAAATAAATAAAAAATCTTGCCAAATTGTCAAAAGAATTTTTTTTTCAAGATATGTTTAAAAAAAATAGCATTTTGAATAAAATATTTTTTAATATAGACACTTTTCTTGTACACATCCTATACTTTATAAGAAAAAAGAAACAAAAACCTGGAAATTTTAAGATTTATATTTGGAAAACCTGGAAAAATCAGGGAAATTTGAAATCTGATTTGAGTGGTCACCCTGAATTAAGACACCTTCGATAGCAGACAAATATTATGCACTCTACGCACGAGCAGTCAGAGAATTGAAACTGTCAGAGAACTAGAATTTTCATGATTGACACTTTCAGGAATATTCTAAGAATACACCAATGCTGGAGAAGAAACTTGTAACTTGGCAAACTGTAAAGGATAAATGATCTTGAAGAAACTTGGTCTGAGATGTTTCAATCATATTGTATGCGACCATCAAAGTCAAACATTAGATAGATTTTGCTTAGCATTTGTCTTATGTTAACCTTAACGGTAACATTATTTTCTGCTCCTCAGTAATTCTGCAATATTTCAGCAATATGAAATTCAAATAACTGTAGCAATAGATTTAGTGGAAAACTGTAATGCAATTCAATATGTCCCTATTAGCTCAAATTACTCCCCATTGTTTAATAATAATCGCCGTAACTTACACAATTGCCACAGCAACCTAATGTGTATATAAATGAGGTGCAGTGCTATGTAATTTGCATAGCATTGTCTATCCTTAGTTCAATAGCATTTCAGTGTATTTGTTAATTATGTAACATTTGTTATTTATGTAATACTTTTTATTTATAAAACACTTTTTATTTACCAATATAAGTAAAAGTATGTATACATTTCATATTTATTTCAGCAAATTGAAAATGAATTTGATGATGAGCTAAGTCCTTATAATCATGCTTCTAAAAAGTTGAAATCTGAAATGGAAACGTCTATTGCAACAGAATATTTCCAATTGGATTTAGCTTGTTTTTCTGAGGAGGAAAATTCTTTTATCAATGAAAGGTTTGCTTTTTTTTAATCAGTTTTTTGTCTTTAAAAAATAACTCAACAATTTACTTATTTTATAACTTTTGTATATTTACAGTGCTAAATTTACAGCAAAATATCTTTTAGCATTTATTTATACATTTTAAATTTTTACATGTGGGTTAGGAAAATGCGAATTAGTTAGCTACTGTTGTTTGACTACAGATAAATAGTACTAAATAGAAATTGGGATGCCAGGATAAAATGATCTCCCAAAAGTTTTCTTTATTTGGAAAAATTCTATGAGCATTTTCCGAATTTCGACAATTGCAGAGATGATTGTGCTCCAGAAAAATTCCGGATTTTTTGCAAACCGCGATCCGGAAATCCAAGGTCCAGAAGTTTCAAGAAATCATCAATCACACTTATGTATTAAAATTCTTGTATATTTTATTTAAAAAAATTAGGACAAGAATTTATACTTGGCATCTCTTTCATTTGTAAATATTTTTTCTGGTAGAATAATAAATGTGGTTAGAGATAAAAGTAAACTTATACATAAGTAAGCTTACTATACTTATTATTAATATAGTTATACTTACTATACTTATACTTACTATACTTATACTTACTATACTATACTATACTTATACTTACTATACTTATATTTACTTGCTATTACTTATTAAGTTTACTTATACATAAGTAAACTTAAACATATTTAAATTATGCTGCATATAATTTACTTAGAATTTCATGTTGTGAAATTATCAATGATTCAAATTTATAAAGACAGTAATTTTTTGAAATGTGTAATTAATGATTTTACTCAAGAAATTTTCAGGATTTTTTAGTTGGGCTTGCAATCACCCCTGCAATTGTCTATTTTAATAAATTTTTGACTAAAAGATCCCATATTTAGTTTGTTTTTTTTTAAGCTTTCTGAAAGACATTAGCTGAAATGAAATGCATCAAAAAATTACGAAAACTCATTTAAACACTTCATCAACAACTGTTTCTTGCACTGTTACCATATATGTGCTTTTATTTAGCAAATTTTAAAAATTGTTAAAAAAAATCCTTTTAAACGCATGAAAAACTAAACAAATTGATGCAGTATTTCAAAGCAACAAATCATAAGGTTTGGCTAAAAATAGAATTCATTTGATAAAATGGGAATTTACCAACACAAAAAAATATATAAGCTCAACACTAAGAAAAAAAATTTTGAACACTATAAAAATGCTGGTGAGTGATAGCAAGCAGGAGGTTGAGCTCTTAGTGTCACAAATTAAAAGTATTTTATAGTTGTGTTTAATTGCTAAGCTATATTCATTATTAAATATAACAACAAAAAATAATTCTATTTTATTTTTATAAAAATATTTATTCATATTTCTGTGAAATAAAAAAAAATGTGTTTTTACAGAAATCTAGCAATATATATTTATCGTGTTTCTATAAGGTTTAGAATTGTCTAAAATGTTGTAGCTGTTTCTGTCATTGTAAAAATCTCTATATTTACCATTTATTCTGATTTAAAAGTATTAGAACAAGAATATTAATACTGTTTATTCTATGTAAATATGTATTCCTCAACTTTAGTTGATTTTCAGAGCTTATGAAGAAGTTTAATTGGTTCTGTTACCTAATGAGCTCTGCATGTTTGTGTATGTGAAAAAAGCAAGCACGCTTCAAAAACGGTTTTTAATTAAATTTGCAACAAAGTTGAGACAAACATTTACTTGTTTACTATAAGCTTTATTAACTGTTGACCACCTTAGATAAAATTAAAAACTTTCTTTGAACGCAAAATCTCATTTAAGTATTCTGCACGCAATGATTAACTCGTGTAAATAGTTTCAACCGGCTCATTGTTACCTCTTTTTGGCAAATCTATTTAAAAATCACATTTTTTTAAAAAATGTTCAATTTTTCTAAAACTTTATATAGATTCATATGACAGGAAAGAGTTTGGTAAAAAACAAAAAATAAATAAATAAAAATCCAAAATTGTTTTGTGCCAAAACTCTTTTTAAACAATTCAAAAATTCCAGAATTTTAAGAAAGAAAAAAGTGTATGTTGGAAACATTTATCCACAGAATGTTATCAAAGTTTCGATAAAAATATAGATGTGATATTTTATACATTTATTTAAATTGTGTAAATATAAATCTCAATGTGTGACTTTTTAAATCACACTAATACTAATTTTGACATTTATTTTTTTAAATTGCGCTAATACGTATGTCAATGCTTAATTTTGAAATGGTGTTAATATGAATCTCGATGTTTGATTTTAAAATTGCGTGAATACGAATTCTGGTGTATAATTTTTAAGTCATTTGAACACAAATTATTAAAGTGGCTTTTAAATTGCATGAATAAAAAATGCTATATTTGATCTAAAATCCAGAAAATATGAACATTGGTGAGCGTTCTTAAACCTCAAAAATTGGAAACATGACGTGTGGCTCTAAATCATGTGAATATGAAAAAGAATTTAAAAACGTCAAACTTTCTTTGAAGAGATGGATTAATTTTTTCTTTTTTTGGTACAATAAAAAATATTCCGATAACAAATTTTCCGCAAACGGGGTCCATGTATATTATATGGGTCTGCTGTTGACTTGGCTGTGTCACAAAATGAAGCAATAATGTGTTCTTCATTTAATATGCTTTAAGTTTTTTATTTTGTTTATTTCAATTATTTGTTATTTTTTATCATTTTATTTATATTTAAAATCAAAAACATTTCATTAAAATATTTTGAAGATAATAAATATTTTTTTTAATCCTGTTTATGTTGTACAAATTTTTGAAAATTATGAGATTCTATGCATAGGCATACCAATTATCAGGTGTCCCAAAAATGACCAACAATTTGAAAACTCAGTTAAAGAAAAATGGAGAAACAAGGAAATGTGCTGCTTACTGCGTCCAGTTTACTAATCTTTTTATTTACTCTCAATAGTTTAAAAAATAGTTACAAATTTCATCAACAGATTAACATTTCTAACTGAAAAAAGTGATGTAACACTTTTTGGAAAATAATTACTATTTGCAACAAAATCATGGCAGTCTAAAGACTAATTAAATAATATAAAATAATCTGTCATGGAGCTGAAAACATTGTTTATTACTTTTCCGTGAGAGTGCTATCTATTGCTGAACTTTGTAACTAATTTTTAAAATTTAAATGCTAAAACTTGCCTTCTTATGCAGAATACAGCAAATTATAATATATTAATTGCTTTCCATGTAATTTTTAAATACAGTTTTTGAATCACCAGTGTTTTTTTGATTCATCTAATATGGATAGTCATAATAAAATAAGAATTCTACAACTTCAATAATATTTTTTATCTAAAGATTGTTTACAATTAAGTATGTATTAAAATTAATTAAATATGTTAGATTTAATTATTTTGATTTAAAAGCAATTTTTTTTTTCAGCTGTGGAACAGGTGATTATTACAAACAAACAAATGTAAATCAAGTACTCCCGAAAAAACTGGACTTAATACAAAAACAGCCATTGGCTACTGAAAATAGTAATTCGAAAGAGCTTCTTCCACGTAGTACCTGTAACAAAATTGACTCCTATCTAAAGCCAGAAATACCAAAAATTAAACCACAATTAGTAAAAAATCGAGGGTTTCAAAAAATATTAAAAGCAGCTGAAAAGTTCAATTAACATTTGTTTCTTTTTGTTCTAATCAACAATTAAAGCTTTGTATAAAACTTTTTGTTTTTCCAGTGAATTTCATGTTCAGTTTCATTTATAATTTACTTATTTCTTGTTTGCATAATAAACAAAGCTATATTTGGTATTATGTACATTTATTTTGTATTCATTTATCATGCTGAAAGAACAGGTACAGGTTATATCTTACTTTTCAAAACCTCATTTTTTCATCTATCAACTTGCTAATATCTTGTGTATTATGTAAATAATAATGAACATACATATCAATAAATTTCGGGGATCTATGCAGTATTTCCTGACGAGATCTCATATATGGGATTTTATGAAAAATATTTTGTCAAAAAGAACTATTTCTATGAAAATATTATTTTATTTATAATATTTTAATTTTTTTATATTTTAAAGATATATATGTGTGTGTTATGAAAAATTGCATTTATGAACTTTTTATAATCGGAACAATTACTTTTGAAATAGAAAAGCTAATAATAAAGCATTGTCAAAATGTAGATTAGCTCAATGATAAAGTGTGTTTTTATTAATAATTCACTCAGAAGTATAAATTTTCTTGTGTAGGAGAATGAACTTTTCATGTTTAATTGTAAAAAAGCAAACAAAATTATTAAAAAATTCATTCTTCATTTAAAAAATAGGTTTTATGAAATAATCGTCTCAAAGAATTGAGAATTGTGCAAAGGGTCTGTTTTTCAGGCTTGTACCATTTTTTGAAATTTTAAAAAAAAAATATTTTGTTTAAAATTTGCTTATAAATTGCCGTCATTTTAGGTATAGTAGGTTGCAGTCCATATAACCAAAAACTCGAAAACAAAAATACGCTTTTTATTTTCTTTGTTTTACTTTTCATTTTTCAACAATAGCTAAGATTTTTAATTAGTAACTGTATATTTGTACACAATATATCAAGGATAATTAAGGTGAAATTATTGCACTAACTGAATCTTTCTTCAAATTTTAGTCCATGGTCATGGAAAAATTCTGACATCATTGGACACAAGCTCTTTTATTCATAAATTACTGGAAAATCACATACTTTAAAATTTACTTGAATACAGTCTTTATGAATACATATCAATATCTTTATCAATAAAGATAGTTATTTGTTCTAGATCAAATACTAGGGCAGCTGTCATAAACTTTGCACTAGTTTACAAAAATTATGATTGCACAGAATAAGTTGCTAAAAAGATTCTTAGAATTGGAGAAACAAAATTAGACAAGTATATAATGGCACTTAACTGAAATTATACTTTCGATTGTTAATTATGTGATTTTGATCATTTAAGTACAATTTAGAAAGTGTATTGCCAATAATTTTTCATAAAAATTCAGCCATTTAATAACATTTTTGAATTCTGAGTACTCTAAGAGGATATTCAATATAATGTAAGTACAAATTTATTTAAAATATATAATGCAATACCAATTTTTAATAACTAATAATCATAAATTAATGTACAAAAATTTTAAAGTGGTTACTTTTGATGTCACTTTAGAGGGATTAGAAAATTTAAAAAATAATAATAAGTTTATCCTTTCTTAAGATATAAATAATCTTGACATATTGTACTTTAATCTATACCGTGATTATGCTTTATTCTTACTGCAGTAATAAATATTTATCAAATGAGTAACACCAAAAGAAGCATATATTACATTAAAAACAATTTAACACACTACAAAAGTATTAAAATTATAAAACAAACATCAATTAATAAAATTACCAAACTCATAAACTTTGTATCTGTAATTACCATACATAAGCCCATGTACATGTTAAAACTAAATGGCACGCTTTTTATTTGGAAATTTATGCCAAATGTGAAACCCTTGTATAAACCGTAAGAAAAAAAATAAAGCATGCTACACTTGGAAATAAAAATGCACCCCTTAGTAATAATGGTTGCACAGTATGTAAAAGAAGTAAGGACCTTCTGATTTCATAAATAATTCGAAGATTAAATAATTATAGTATTCCATTCAAATTGTCATTACGTTTATTTTTATATACAGGCATTCAATTTTCATCTATTTTATGTTTTGTATGCAAGTTTCACAACTTGTTTCATAAATAATGTCCATTTTTTCTCTAATGAGTTTTTTTTTTTTTTTTTCAAACAGGGTGCAAAGTGCTTCTGTACTCTCACAATATAAGTAATAAGTTAAGTAAGGGTTTAAAATCATTACAAACAATTCCTTTAATGAAGGAATGTTAATGTATCAGACTTTAAGCTTCCTCCTCTAATGACTGGTTTTTTAATACTCAGTTTTTATTGAACTCAAGAGTGATTATGCAGTTTAAAAATGTTTGTAATTTCTTACTTAATTTGCAACCCTCAATGTGCCTATTTACAAATATATATTAAGGGTAGTCATGGCTGAATACCCTCTACTGTAATTTATCATGCCATATTATGAAATGTTAGATTTTTACTTGAAAGTTCTTTTGTACTAACATTCCTTAGCTATACAATCTTAGGTTGTCTTTTTCTGAAATAAAAAAAAAACATTATATAATTACTACTCCTCTTCTATGCTGCTTCATTCTCTATGAGGCTGTCCAAATCAGTTTCTGCGATCTGGCCCTATTCAATTTTTATTCTAACATTATTAATTGCATTTGCTCAAAGTGATTTGCACATAGCACAAAGTGAAGGCTATTTGTTAGTGCTGAAGGTCATGGGTTCATTCTTCATCTCTAGCTGATCAGTTCATCCAACTATGATTGGCGGTTGATAGTATTTGGAGCTGGCAATGATACTAACTTGCATTCCTTCTTCGCTTACATTGACTATCTTAATCATGTCTAGCAAATGTTGGACTTTTGAGGTGCATATTATGATATTATTAAAATGAATTAACTATTTAAATGCTGTTTACATAATGTAATTGAATATATAGTTAACACAGTTCATAAATTAGTGCTTTGCATACTGAGATTTTACTAGGGTTTAATACATTAACACCCCCTCACAATATACCAGATTTAACAGTCACTTGTTTCCAAGGTCTATGTGCATTAGGTTAAGTAAAAACTGAATTGTTTAGTGTATTTTTGGTTTTGAAAAATAAAACAAGATATGTTTTTAAAAACTTACTTAGAAGATATGTTTGAATAACAGAAAAAAAACTCTTGCAAGAAATTAGAATGCATATAAAAATGTTCTTAAGTGTAAAAATTATTTTATAGTTTTGTAAACACATGCCATTCTCTATTGAACTATTCTCCTAGTAAATTTCTAACAGAGCTCATTCTAGGCAGGGTAAACAGGGCACAGCACCCTGAAGTAAATTAGTGCCCTGATGTAATAGACTCCATACCCTTTTTGCCCATTCTTTCCTCAACCCTTCTTTATTTTTTCCCCAAACTCTACAATGGATTTCTTAAACTTTNAAAACTCTTGCAAGAATACATATAAAAATGTTCTTAAGTGTAAAAATTATTTTATAGTTTTGTACATTCTATGTCATTCTATATTGAACTATTCTCCTAGTAAATTTCAAATAAATTTATCTTTCAATAAAATTGTCAACATTTTTAAATAGTAATTCTGTGAAAAGTAAGAAATACCACATAAATGTTAGAAAAGTATTTTCATTTGCCAATTGTTTACAACAGATATTAAATTAAAAGTAAATAACATATATTTATTATCATAAGAGTTTCGGGAAAGCAGAATTAGTTAGATAGGATATACATTTATTCTTTATATATATATACATTACATATTACACTTTAGTCTTGAATTCATTTCTTAATTATGGTTTGTATTAGTGTATTTAGATTCATTTTATTCTGGAATTCATTTTAAATCATGTAATAAAAATTTGGTTCTCTTCTAAGGTAGCATCGATGAACAGGTGTCCCTACTAGACACCTGAGTTTCTCCAATGACGAATTTTTAAGATAAATTAATTACAAAGTATTTGAGCTTTCCCCAGAAGGTTTGCAATATTGACCTTTTATGTTTAATTAGATTTACAAAATTTATGTACAGTTGACATTCCAACCAATTTTCAATTTTCTCAAGTTATCTGTAATTTTATATAATACATTAATCTATGTCTAAAAGATAAGAAATATAAAGCAGATGAAAATACACATAATTTTAAGACATAAGAATTTATTACAAATACATTCAATTAATTATGTAACATCTCTTAACAAATTAAAGCTTGAGATCTTTATTAATTAATTTTTTGATATGGGTTTTTTTCAAGATTAATCTCAACATTTCACAAGTTCCTGAAGACGACAAATGTGGTGAACGGTGAAGAAACCAAAAAAGAGCAAGCTGTAATAGTTCATCATTTAATTTGCAAGTTCTTTCCAAGATAGATCTTGACATTTTAGAAACTTGCTAAAGACAACAATATGGTAAATGTGAAGAAGCAACATTTCAAAAGTTCCTGAAAACGAAAAATATGGTGGACTGTGAAGAAACCAAAAAAGAGCAAGCTGTAATAGTTCATCATTTGATTTTCAAATTCTTTCCAAGATACAAGTTCTTTCCTTGACATTTTACCAACTTGCTAAAGACGACAATATGGTAAACGTGAAGAAGCAACATTTCAAAAGTTCTTGAAGACGCATATGGTGAACAGTGAAGAAACCAAAAAAGAGCAAGCTGTAATAGTTAATTTGATTTGCAAGTTCTTTCTAAGATAGATCTTGCTAAAGACGACAATATGGTAAACGTGAAGAAGCAACATTTCAAAAGTTCCTGAAGACGAATATGGTGAACAGTGAAGAAACCAAAAAAGAGCAAGCTGCAATAGTTCATTTGATTAGCAAGTTCTTTCTAAGATAGATCTTGCTAGAGACGACAATATGGTAAACGTGAAGAAGCAACATTTCAAAAGTTCATGAAGACGAATATGGTGAACAGTGAAGAAACCAAAAAAGAGCAAACTGTAATAGTTCATTTGATTTGCAAGTTCTTTCCAAGATAGATCTTGCTAGAGACGACAATATGGTAAACGTGAAGAAGCAAAATTTCAAAAGTTCCTGAAGACGAATATGGTGAACAGTGAAGAAACCAAAAAAGAGCAAACTGTAATAGTTCATTTGATTTGCAAGTTCTTTCCAAGATAGATCTTGCTAGA